TTAGTGTAAAATTTGGTGTTACGGTTGGAGATGAAAAACTTTTTTTTACAGCAAAACACTAAATTTGGTGTTAAAATCACACTAAATTTAATGTAATGGTTGGAGATGCTTTTAAAATAAAACTTTGAATTTTGTAGAGAATTTTATGAGAAAGATCAAGAAATCCTGAACAAGTAATGTTACTGGGCTACCACATAGGGAAATGATTTTGATTTGTTTTCAATATGCTGCAAGAAATCAGAAAAAAGTAAGAGGACAAACTGGAACGAACCAGAAGCATAGGGGCATGTGTAATGATATCATTACATTTTTTTTAATTGCGTGCATAATATATTAGAGAAGAACAAAAAGAAGAGGAATGAAAATTGGAAATGGACGAAAATGTAAAAAGGAAATAATTAGGGGAATGAAGTCAAAAGGTTGGTTCAAATACGTATGAAGGACCATTAATATAACTTTGTATTATACTATTATCAGATTGTAAAATATTAAAGAACACGAAACCCCAAAAGGAAAAAGAGAAAAGAGATAGGAAGCTTAAAAAAAAAAGGGAATGATGATCCTAAGGTCAAAGCTGAGCAGTTGGGCTATTTTCACTATTTCCATTTATTTTAATTTGGTCTAAAGAACCTATGATGAAAAAAAAGTTTGACACCTAGAGGAAACTTCTTCATTTGGGTAAATCCCAAATCCCAATAAGGTAATTCTTGTAAGCAATTAGATTGGACAAAACCAAAGCAAATATTCTTTTCTACAACAAAATACTTCTTAATAATATGGTGTTTAATTGGGTGACATTTAAGTGGTTATTAAATTTTAAAAAGAAAGTTTTTTTTTTCAACAATCAAGTTATAGTAAATCAAATTGTTAAAATGATTTCTCTAATGGACCACCCTAAACGAGAATGTTTGACTTACATGGAAAAATACATAACCCCATGCTCGAATTCCCTTTGCAAAGGAATTGATCCGGACATTACTAATACGTAAGATATGAACTAAACTAAAAAATACAAAAAATTGTCTAAGCATAGTAAACTAGTTAAACTCCGCACTGAAAGATGGCCAATCAAGTGGATGCGTGGTCCTTGAAATCATGTTTGCACAGTCCGTCTCAATCCTCATTGAGTATAGTCTCATCTCGCTTAGACACTCTATCACCCTAAGCAGCCAGTCGAACTCAGCATGCAATGTCGTGATGTTTCGTCTACATCCTCTCATGCCGAAAGTAAGGAGGCACATATTGTCTCTTAAGCACTACCCTAATCCACTGAAATGATCAATCCAAGATGCATCGATCTAGCATATCGAGATTTGAGGGTTCCGGAGAGATAAATCATCTGAGTCACCTTGTTGACGTAGATCTTTTGTTATTTCTTCCTCTTCTCTTCGATTAGCGATACTCCAATTTTCTGATTCGACGGTCGCTGTCTGGAGAGTATATTGTGGGGATATTGTTTTT